TTATGAAGTTTGCGCAACACTTCTTTGCCGAAACAGAAATGAACGTTATCTGGAGAGAATTGTTATTTGTGACGAAAAGTGAATTCTCTACGATAACAGCAGACGTAAGCCTTTTTTGTTGTGGTAAAAGAAAATTTAAATATACGTTTTTAGAAGTTTTGTGAAGGTGGTCAAAGAAGTTTTCAAATATTCTTTTGGGCCTTCTATGAAGTGGTTAAAGATTTTCAAATATACGTTTTTAAGATTGTTTTAAGGGCTTAAAGATATTTGAAAATATTCGCTTTTTTCGGTTTTATACCTTTTTTATAATTAAAAATTCAAATTTTTTGGCATTTTTAAGGTGATTTTAGGAATTTCCAATATACTGTTTTGTTTATTTATATTTGTAAATTTGAATTTGTGTATTAAATATTGTATATGTGTAAATTTTTAACCATCTTAAAAAATAATTAAAATTAAGAAATTTTATTTTGTCCGTCTAGTTTTGCTTTGGTTTGTTTTGCAGTATTGTGCTTGTTTACACCCGTCTGTAGCTAAGACGTATGATTCTTTTAGTCGGAAACGGAGTATGTCCATTTATCGACCTCTAGTTTGATAGTCATGACTCATCAGTCATGAGCAACTTAAATTGTTGAAGTTTCAGGCTGTATTGGCGTAAAGCTATTTCTGTAGCCTGATCATCCCGGCCCGCCCATTTTAACTGATCTTGTTTTTTCCGCATTTCGCCACTTTCAGTTGTTGGCCCTAAAGCGTTGGAGCGAAAAGTCAAAATTATATTTATCCTAATTAAAAAAAGAAGAAGCCTAAAGAAAAGAAAAAGAAAAAATGAACAGTGTCATCAGATCAAGGAAAAGATCTACTTCTTTGGTATATTTTGGAACGAATATGAAAAATTAGAGTAAGCAGTTTTTAAAGTGAAACGTTATTGGTTGGAAGACTTTACTGTGTATGTTGTCTTGTCAATACCGCAATCTCGGGAAATATAATCGCTTTTACAGCTCGAGCAAACAATTGCTCTTAGCTTTGCGACGCCAGCGGGGTCGTTGAAGATTTTTTGTCGCGTTAATTATTTCTGAAGAAATTCGCGAATAACAAGCGGAAAAATTTCTGAGTGTTTGCACGAATCAAAACGTTTGCAGTCGATTTCACATGAGGCCGTGCGTTGGTCGGATCGATCGTGACAAACCGACGGTTTCAATGTAGAGAATTCTTCAAGAAGTGAATTAAACCGTGCTCAATTGAACCATCCCCCTTCCGGGACAATCCGAGCCATTAGCCTTGAACCGATTATTTCTCTTAGTCCTTTTATTCGTCTGAATTGCACGAGTTCAACTGATTAACGTCTCAATTTAAAAAGGCAATCAACAAAGTGCACGATGAAAAAATTAAATGAAAAATTTGTCACTTCAGCATGCCTCCAAGAACCAACGACTGAAATGTAATTACCTTATTTAATCTTTTTAAAAAGATAGTTCCTACTTACAGTTAGTTGTTTCAATGATTCGGATTTCAAGCTTGTAGCTCATCATCAGGTTAAAGGAATGTACAACCACTTCTCTTGATATGGGTTGTAACTTGTAAGAGTGAACCCGCCAACGCGTCGTTCCAATGAGAAGCTGGTTTTTAATGCTGTTTGATTTTCAACATGCGAATAGCGGGAATTATAACACAATTAAATATTTCATTAATAAATGCTGAAGGAAAATAACTATAAATTAGTGATTAATTTGGTTTTTATTAATTAATAAAAAAATTAAAGTTAAAATGATACATTAATAATAGATTAGTAAATTAATGATAAAATAATAATAAAAATTAAATTAATTAATTTGATTATTTTGTACGTTTAATATTATTTAGGTACATATTTAACATAGGAAGTAAATTAAAATCTGTTATATTAATAATGCATTTATCTCCATGTTTAATTTTATATTTTTTAATTTCAAATTTCTCAAACCAATATAGTTCCCTCCCTTTGTTGAAACTATGTAATACTGTTGTACTTAGATTTAAATTGAAATTGTGTTTTGTTTCTTTTAGATTGTCCTTAAATTCTGAAAACTTGTCCTATTTAGGCAAGTGTTCTGTAACTCCCATTTTAATTTCTCTACCGCTTTGACCTATATATTTAATGCCGCAATCATTACAATTAAGTTGGTAAACCCCGCTTTTTGCTTACCGCTATTTAGGTTTTGAGGGGATGTTTCTAAGTGTACACGTACCTCTAAAAGCTATTATAAAAACCTTCTTGTATAAGAATTTTACCTACTTTTCTTTCTTCTGTTCAGCAATGTGTGACAAACAACGGAAACCTTATGATTCATTTTTGGTTGTCTGAGTCCTTTTGCTGCGTCCTTTGCGTTGAGTCCATTTAAAGTTAATTTTTTATTATTTATTTTATTCCAATTAGCAACCTATCAATAACTATTTCTTTATGTCCATTCTTTTTTGCTAAGGTTTCAGTAGTTTGTAATATTTTTATAGTTAGTAGGTATTTGTGGGAGTTTTAACGTACGGTCTATGGGCAGCTTTTTGGGACCATGAGTGAGAAAAATCCGCTGGTATCATCATGTCTGTATTTCTGAGTTTTCTATATAAGTTTATTTCAATTAGGTTGTTTAACATGGACAGTTTTAAGACTAAAACGTTTAAACTACCATCTTTATTAATTTCCAATGTAAAATTTATATTAGGTATAACGAATTAATTAATATGAGGAATTCTTTTAGATCCTCTAATGTTCCCAACCATGTGCATAAAATATGGTATACATAGCGTTTCCAATAAAGAATGATTTAATTAATTTGTTGTTTGTTTGAAAGAATTTTTGCAAAATTATCCTTGACTATTTAGGTAGAAAATGGGGATAATGGAGACCCCATTGGAAACCCTTTCATTACATAAATTCATTATTGAATTTATAATAATTAGATAGTAGGCATATATTTAAGAGGTCAGTTATGCCATTTTTTCAAATTTGTTAATAGAATTCTCCGTATTTTTTGTTTTATAAGTTTTATACATTCTTTAACAGGGATATTTGTGATTAAATTAGTAATATCAATTGACAGTAAAACACAGTTGTTTGGCATATTGATGTTCTTTAATTGTTTTATCAATTCTAAATGATTGTTAATACCGAATATAGGTATGAAATTGGTGTGTGTTAATTATTTTATCAATTGTAATCGTGAGTTTTTGCCATGACGAATTAATTATGAAAGGACACTACTGCTCTTGTAGGCTTTTTCCTTGTGAATACCGTACCATATAACATTGTGGGGGTGTTCAGGTTTATTGGTATTAGTTTTTTTAACTCCATATTTGTCATTTGAGAATAAAGACATTTTTTATGGCTGATTGAACTCTAGTTTTTAATTTTAAAGTGGGATCTTTTTATTTCTTTACAATCGTTATTGTTTAGAAATTCTGCAACTTAGAAACGTATTTTTTATGTGCAATGATAACTATACTATTTCCTTTATCGGCTTCTAAAGTAACGTTGTTTCTTTTTAACTTTCTATCAATAGTTCTAATTGTACGTGGTATATTTAATTTTTTGGCGTTTAGATTTACCAAGTTTAGTTTAATTACTTCAGCACATTTATATTCTGTATTTGTATTTATTTTACTACAGCCTGCCGATGAACCAAGGGATAACAGTTTTTTTTGTAAATTTAATTCGGTTTTTGGCCAAATTTCAAGCCTTTATTCAATAAATCGTTTTCTTCTTTATTTAGTACCATGTTTGTTAAGTTTTTAACCCTTGAGTAAAATTTAATTATAGTTGTTTGGTCTTTATGAGTATTTTTATTTTTAAGTGTGCCGTACTTAATGTTTTTAATTTTTTAATCTAATATACTTTTAGTTATTCAGATATCGTGAGATGCGGTCGGGTGTGATGTAGGTTTCAGAAAAACATTTTCTTTATCGTGCCAATGTTTCGATCTTTTATTGAGATCATCTTCAGGGCCTGGGATTTACAAACAATGTTTACATTTAACAATTACATTTAGNGGATCGAGGTCACGATAGCTCAAGTGGTAGAGCAGCGGCGTATCTAGCCGAAGATCGTGGGTTCGAATCCCGCTCGTGCCATTAGCTTTTTTTCATCTCAACTAAAAACCTTAATTAATTGTAATGATTTAATTGGTCAAGCGGACCACGAAATTAGTGAATTTAAAGTATTATATAGTTTCAACAAAAGTAGGGAACTAGATTGGTTTGAGAAATTTGAAATTAAAAAATATAAAATTGAACATGGAGATAAATGCATTAATAATATAACAGATTTTGATTTACCTCCAACAATTACAATTTAAATTTAAGTACAACATTGTTACATAGTTTCAACAAAGGGAGGAAAGTAGATTGGTGGTAATAACCCTCACAGTGACACAGAATTTGTTCCACGGTCTCTTTCCCTTCTTGGCAAAATCTAGACAATGTTTCTTTCGTCAGTATGCTTATGAGGAACATATAGCAATTGCCTTCTTAAGCCGGGAGGCCTAAGGAGGGAGCTAAGGTTGCTTCCCCCAGGAGTTCCTCTGTCCCGCTATGAATCGTTTCGTGCGTCTCATCCCTAGAATGATCCACTCAGGAAGAATGAATGATTTTGACTCATTAAGGATTCATTAGGGTTTGTGGCTAGAATAAATATTGACTTCACATATCCCTCTCATTACCCATATGTATCTGAGTGCCCGGGAACCCAACCGAGGGTCAGGACATCACTGTCACCGAATTCTAACATCGATGTTTCATTATCTCATCTCGCTGGCTTTATACGTGCTTTTCAAAATATATGTCTAATTTTTTAACATATTTTATTATAGTCGGCTCTTCGAAGGATTATATCATTGTTTTTTTGTTATTGTGATGGAGCAATGTTTCGAGTAATTGTGTGATGATTGAGCCTGTCTTCATGACGACTTTCTTCTGTAGAATACGTCGCGTTTGTTCATTTAAAGATTTTTATGTATGATAATTTTTTGCAGGGCAAGAAGCAATTTCAAACTTGTATTATCGAAGGTTCTTTGCGGTTTTCCTTGAGGTGAGATATAATTTCCATCATCGGCACTAAATGATTTTTTGTAACTTTTATTTTCCTGTGAGTAAGTCCTCATTTCTAAGTTATTATATAGGGTTAATATGTATATTATATTATATATAGTATTATTGTCTAAAGGGTTCATATGGTGTCAGTGGTGTAACAACGTTGTATTTAGACCTTATATTATTAAGTAATGAGTTAGTTTGAATGTATTTTTCCCTATCTATGTGACTATTGCAATTTCATTGTCTAAATTTCCTTGGTGTCATTTTGCTTTTATGTCTATGTTTTGTTAGTTATTATTAGCTTATTGCCGTTGTCTTTGTTGTGTTTCAGGATTTTTATTCTTTGTTATATTTTTCTACATTGTTAGTGGGACATTTGTTTCTATTGGTTGTCTGTACATGGCATCAATGAAGGTAGGAAGATCAATATGATGGTAATTAACATATTTTTTCGTAATAGTGATAATGCGTTGTATTATGTATGAAACTTAGAAGGCAGGAGATGCGAGAAGCGTAGAATTTATTTTTACCGGGTTGTAAATGTTAAATAACGTTTCAAAGATTTATCTGTTGTTCCACGTTCGTCAGTTTAATTGCCTTTTTTGAAGTTCTCTGAGCTTAAACATGCCAAGTTATTTTTAGGATAAGACTTAAAACTTTTATTGCTCACTTGCAACATGGAAAGCCAATTTCTCTCAAGAGATGCAATTAATTAGCCCAAGTTATGACATGTGGTAGCTGCGATTCTTTGAATCGGCTTTCGCATGAGGTATTATGTGTTAGCTTTAATTAGAGCATAGCTTCTCGGCAAAAGCAATAATTACCTCAAATTTATAATTTTTATTAAAAATATTATTAAGTTTTGTGATGATGATTAATGATATGTTCAAAATATTCCTAGAGGCTTAAGGGAAAAGACACCGATGCGCAATTTAGAACTTTTTAATTTATTTAGACATCTCAAATAATAAAGCTTCTCAATCCTTCATCTCGTTTAAGGCAACGACGTGGTGGGTTTGTGAGTAATGGCTGGGGCAATGAGTTATTATGGAACTTATTATGGATCGAAAGGATGGTATGTAACTTGTGGATTAAAAAAATAAATAGTTTTACCACTAGTTGCCACACCACAATGTATTATTACTTCGAAAGTTCGAATGTTTTGTGTGGAGATTCCTTATCCGTTTGATGTCTAGGTACAGTCCTAAGAATATGACTTCAGTGGAAGTCGGTAGCTCTTAGTGATGTCATCATGTACAATTTGCTGTCTAATTTTTTTAATGTAAACGTACAACGTTTTTACACCTGTAATATAATATAATCTGTACATGATCAAAGTGTATTGGGATGTTGGAAATATGAATTCAAATTAGAATACAAAATTGCGCTATCATCAGCGTACGTGATGAAGTGGGATGTGTAGAAAATTCAGCAGTATGAATGGTATACAGGATGAGACCAAACCATTATGGTGCCATGGTCAGTGATGGATTTGTCCAGTTCCTACAACTAGGACAAATTACGGGAAAGCGCACAAACACAAAACTCAATACGGTGAAAATTCGAAACAAGTCTGACAGAATAAATGATCGGAAAATATCAAAATACAGGTTTATAACACTACACACCTCAAGGTAAAAAGTCAAATATTTGGTTAAATTGAACAATGTTTGGCAATGTCCGGAGACAATATGACACGAATTAAACAGGCGTATAGTGATTATTTTTAGTTTGTACTAAACATATCATTAATAAAATATATTAATTAATACGATCAATTAAAACTGCTAAATGCATAATTGGATCTTATAAAATAATTGATTAGTTGATTGAGTGTTGATTTGTACGGACAAACTGTACGTGCAATATGAATATGAAACAATTTCCATTCGGGCACATTTGAATAGAAACGGGCAGCCCTTCTATTAAAATAATGATTTTTTTGCTTAACTTTGCCGATGAAATGAAAAACATTTTGTACATGAACTAAGTCGAGACAGATGGGCTAGGCGGTGAATTTACAGCCTGGGACGTCAGCATGGCACGTGCTTAAATTTCCCTTGATGTACTTGCAATTTCTTTCAAGTAGACTCTCGAGATGAGCATTAGCCCGTAACCTCTTCTTATAAATATTATATTAAATTTCATGAAAAACACATCTTTCAAATAATTTCAAACTCATCAATTGCCAAAATAACTTTTCTTAATTTCAAATTTAGTGTTGTAAAATGCAATTGTGCAAGGAAGAGGTTGTATATAACTGCCGAAAAACGAATAGGAATATTGGCAACTTTGTCGTATTTACTACCCCTAGCATTTTTATTTTATTTCTATTATAAATTGCATTAAAATTTATTAGAAATTATTATGTTTTTACTGAAAGAAAATTTAAATAAGAGATTTTGAAAAATAACAAAATAAAAGGTTTTAACTCCATAACTTTGTTTATTGGACACAATAATTTTTTTAAACAATTAATACCATGTATAATGTCTTGTGTAAGCTAAAACATCTGAGCACCTGTTAAGCATACTGTTAATAAGGTTGTCACAAATTTCATAAGGAATTTCACTCCATAGAAAGTTCCAACGCTACACTCAGTTGGACTAGTCAACTGGCTGCGGATGGTGACAATGGGGGAAAGGGCAGATTGGAAATTCCCGGGTTTTCTAATCATTGATGAACAACTCTGTCTCTATGACGTCTGGCACTGTCATCCAGGAATCGAAAATCCCAGACAATGAGATTCCTTGTTTGAGGGATGTATTCTTTGATCATTTTTTGACATAACGGACTGCGTGAGGTTGCCTTCATCAATATGACGTCCAGTTCGTCCTCCAGTGTAAATCCCGGCCTAGACCATTACACCATCTTCTCCAAACTGCACTGAAGGGAACACGAACTGGGGAATTGTAGGCACCCCTTTTCTCTCTTCCGCGCCTGCTATCACTATAAAGATAGAAACGCGACTCATCAGTAAACATAACAACATTTCAATTGGTGTTATCTGCTAGGTGTTCGCTGCACAATATTCTCTTGAGTTTTTGTGGAGGGCTGTTGCTGCAGGTCGTCTCAAAGGGGCATACGATGTGTTGCCAACTTCCCACAAACGATTACGAATCGTTTGCCAAAACAATTTGTACTTCATTTAGGATCCGGCGGGCACTCTGGAAATGGTTCCGTCTTGCAGCAAGGACAATATTTCTCTCCTCCCTAAGCGCCATAATGCGCTGAAATCCACTACCAGACGTCCTATTGGGACTTCCAGTCTCTCGGGATCGGGCTAAAGCCTGGGAGACCCCGCTCTCGGGACCGCCACCTGCCTCTGCGGTATTGCCGATGACCTCGATGACACATTTTCACAATAATATTGAGAACTTCTGGTTCAAAATGATGTCCTTCCATCGTTAAAGAGGATTAAAATGGAGAAAAAAACGAAAAAAGTTTTATAAAATTATCCGTAAATCCGTTATTAAAAATTATGATTAACATTTGTTTTTGGTTTGTATTTTCTCTTTTGTTTTATCCAACTAACAAGAATTCGGCTAATTTAATTAAAATTAATACAATAAGAATAAATTACAAATATTCTTATTCATTTTTGAGCACTTTACGTAAACTTATAGGCCGTTACAGAATTAGGAGCTATCGTAGTCAAAATAAACAGTAAATAATCCTTTATTTATTTTTGTACCTATTAATCCCAGTTGTACAAAAATTAACATTATGCCCTTCCATTATGCTGCGCCTAAACGGGGCTTCATCAGTAGTCTAGGACAGACCTAGATCTACAGACCAGAGAGTCGAGAGATTCATCCATCAGGCTCTACGAAACCGCATCCTTACGGGAAATGAGACAAGAAATCTGATAAGACAAGTCCGAAATGTTTCAATTTCCTCCAGGATTATAAGAAGGCTCAATGAAAAAGAAACTCAGGGCCTGGCATACGGCTCGTTTACCTTTTCTTACCACAGCTCATAAAATGGCCAGGCTTCAATTTGCATGGGAACAAGTGAATTGGACATTGGAAGATTGGGAACGAGTTGTTTTTACAGATGAGGTTAGAATGTTCCTCAAATCTTCAGATGGGTGTAATTTCATATGGAGACGCTCAGGAGACATGGATGCCCCACGGCATTGGGCAATGGGTCATTGATGTTCTGGGGTGACAATTTCTTGTACCCCCACACCGAATTAGTTGTATTAGTGCGAGTTGTCCTACTTCACATAGGTACTTCCAAGACATAACCGAAGAACATTAATGAATATGTGCCATTTGCCCCCACATCGCTGAGAGGTTCTTGCTAATGCAGGATAATGCGAGGCCCAATAGAGCACATATTGTGAATGACTACCTGAATGAGGTTGGAATTGAGTGCTTGTTGTGGCGAACTCGTAGTTCAGATTTCAACCCAGTCGAACACACTTGCGACCAACTTAAGCGACAACTACGGCAAAACCCAGGTCCTACCACCCTAGAAGTGTTGGAATTCTGAGTTCGACTCCCGGAATCAGCCCATGGAATTTTAACTGAAAAAATACGAAAAATGTATTGCACCCTCGTCTACGTTACCCAAGGGGTCGTGGGACATTGCCCTCCTGTAAGACAGGAATTGTTTTACTTCTTTACTTTAGTTTGATTAATTTTATTAGTTTACACTAGTTTTTTGTCCCTTGAGCAGATTCTCATTGTACAGTCTTTGAATAATATTTTAAAGAAATATAAATTATAAGAGTAAATTTTTCTGTGGTTTCATTTCCTCCCTAATGATATATCTAAATCAATTAACAATGGAAGGAAGAATTTGCTTTCTTTTTCATGGGGTTTCTCTGTGGATTGAGCTATTACATTTTTGATAGGCTTAAAGGAGTGTTTTGGGTGAATTCGTGGAAGATATTTGCCAAGAAAGGGTTAATTGTACTAATGAAATATTGACCAACTCTCTTTACAATTTCCCTTTTTTGTTTAAACAAAGCGTCTCCCAGGTTATAAATATTTCTTTCAAACGAAAGTAGTAGATTTAAAATTGATGCTATAAACCATAAATTGCGATAATTGCTGTTGAAACATTAAAATCATGGCTGACTGTGTAGTTTACTTTAAGGCTAATTTTTATTTAGCAAGTGTAAAAGGTCAATACATGGAAAAGCCTGTGTTTCTCGAACAAAACGAATCTTATTGCACTGGGATTTTCTCCGATGGCAAATATTAATATTGAC